AGAGAGAGAGAGAAAGAGAGAGAGAGAGAGAGAGAGAGAGAGAGAGAGAGAGAGAGAGAGAGAGAGAGAGAGAGAGAGAGAGAGATGGGAACACCGAGGAAGATGGACCTGAAATTGTTTAGGCGAGCAATGATATGGTTAGTAAGCGGGCTCAGCTTGGGCGCGTTAATGACTCATTGGGCATATCAAGATCCGCGAGCATACGGGGATAACGATCAGCTCCGTCGTCCCAGGCGGCGACTCGGTGAAGTAGCGGTAGCGAAGAACGGCCCAAGTGGAACATCTACGGATGCTTCCCAGGACAATGTAGATGACGGCCAGGATGGCCGTTCTCCACACGTCAATCAACCCGAGTTTCAAGGGATAAGCACATCAGCATCAGAAGATTCTGAGGAAGATTCAGGAGAAGATTCTGACGAAGTTTCTGCCGAAGTTACTGAAGATTCTGCTGAGATAGAAAAGTGGGGGATGTTAGTTACGTCGAAGGCCACGGAATGGACGGGTCGATCCTCGCCACGTGGCACAGCAATGGAAGATTCCGACGTTCCGATGAAGATTCGGACGCAGTTGCTGATGAAGATTCGGACGAAGTTTCCGAAGATAGTACTGTCGCTGATAAGTGGCAGATCTTAGCCACGAGGAAGACCACGGATTGGGGGAATCGGTCCTTGCCACGTGGCTCGACAACAGACGAGTCCGATGAAGATTCCGATGAAGATTCTGTGGAAGGTACTGCAGATGCTACCACTGACGTGGGTCAGCCAGCGATGTCAGGTACGGCAAAGGCCACGGGCGAAGCGAATCAGCCGTCGCCACGTCGGACAAGAACAGAAGAGTCCGGTGAAGTTTCTGATGAAGCTTCTGAAGAAGGTACTGAAGATTCTATTGACGTCATCGGTAAGTCGACGATGTCAGCCACGGCAAACGTCACGAACGGGGCGAGTCCGTCCTCGCCAGGCGGGACAAGAACAGAAGATTCTGATGAAGTTTCTGAAGATTCTCCTGAGGCTGATAAGTGGGAGATGTCAGGGCCGGCGATGGCCACAGACTGGGCGGACAAGTTCCTGCCACGTGGCACAATACCAGTGCAGCGTGAGAGGCAGGTAATCTCCACGGGGTCCTCTCCGGATTCAGACTCCAGGAATGCTTGGGGCGATGATGGCCCATGGAGAAGGCTCCAGTGTCCTCTGGACCCGCCTCCACGAAAGTGGCGTTGAAGGGGGGGTCTCAGTCTCTCAGAGTTTCCCCCCCCCAGCCCCAGCTGCTGCTCTCGGGGGTAAATTATTCGTCGCTGGGTCCGATCAAGGACGAGAGTTGGCGGGAAGAGGAGAAAGGGGAGGTGGAGGGGTGCACGACCGCCTACGCTCTCAAGCCCTTTCTCAAACGACTGGCTGTGAACGGGACGATCGTCATCTGCACGATGAACTGGGATTTTCGCGCGCTTTTCGTTAATTGGTTGATCTCCGTGGAGAAATTGGAAATGTCGGAGAACGTTTAGGCCTTCGCGGAGGACGTGGCTTCTTGGCTGTTGGTGGAGACGCGCTGGCCAGGCCATGCGGTGCTCCTGTGCCGCAGCGCGCCGAGCGGGAGTCGCCAATCTGATTCCGCCTCCGCCGCAGCGGCGCGCAGCTCCAAGCCAGCGGGCGGGGTATCGAGCGACTTCCCGCGGGAGTTGGGCGTTCAGGACTGGAACTCGGAAGGGTACGGGAAGGTGGAGACAGGGAGGGCTAATTACATCCTGGCCTGCTTGCGTCACGGATACTCTGTGCTTTACTCTGACGTGGACACCATCTTCGTGAAGAACCCGATCCCATTCATCACGGGACAAGCAGGAGGAGGAAGAGG